CTTCGACGTCCTTTTGCTCTCTTCGTGTTTAAAGATATATACAAACCTACTAGGCGTTTCGGTCAGCTTCCCGCCCTACTCCTTACCTATGCTTTCAGCTCTCTGTTACATGTACGTCCCTTATATTCTCACCCATTTTTTGTAAAATCCTACTTATCAGTTGTCAGTAGAATACGTTCTCGGTAGTTCGAAAAGAATCGTGATCCAAATGGCACTTGATGATATACTTTCAGAGAATCAACTTAACCCGTTAATTTGGTTGCATCACACCACACAGTGGATCCTATCTAATTTTTAGATATATTTATTTATTTATTTCAAATGGCAGGCATTTTGATAGTTATCATTAGCCCTTTAGTTGACTTCGGGCTTCACAGAAGGGAGGAACATTAAAGTGAGAAAAATTCGACAGGGGGAAAGAAGAGCGATTCATAGATGTAACAGACAGACAGACAGACACAAAGGCAGAAAAAAGGCTAGATGAGTACTGTGAAGGGGTCGAATATGACATACAGTGGGGTTATGGAAGTTTGAAGTCAGAGGTCAACTGCCAGTTAATAGACTTTTTGCCGTATGAGTATATGTTGCCCAGGGTGCACCACGTGGAGGTAAGTCTATCGCACACCCCATTTTTAGACTTAACTTTCGCGTAATTTGTATCTGGCCTTTCTCCTTGATGACTAACGCAGTTCGAGCCAATGCTAGTTCTCGGTTAAACTGACTAACTAACTCACCACTATTTGTGGAAAAGAAGAGGTCAGCACCCTCATTCAGTCTTAACATTATTGGAGTTTGGAAGGTTTGTTGCAACCAAGGCCGCGATAATTGCTTGATCATAGCGAGCCTATACTAACAAAGGAACTTGTATTCGTACTCATTCGATACTTTTCGATTAAGGCTGAGAGCAGAGATACACTGGTACTTCTAGATATCTAAGGCTTGCAATTTCCCTGGCGTTTTTTATCTAATACTTGGGTGCTGTTTTATTCCCGTTTTTATTCGAAATTAATCCATCTAATTACTAATGTTGTCTTTACTTCATTAGTTTGCGCACACTCTTTATAAATACTTTTATTCACTTTCAGGGATTGAACTTTCAGTTGGCAATTGTGCTCTTCTCTATCGGCATTTTTGCCTACATTGACTTTGGTAGGCTCAAATTATATCTCCAGTTGGTTTAATTTCGCAATCACTCACTAACTCATTTGCATTTCAGTACTTCGGGAAAAAGTTGCCAGGAGGCTTAATGCCTGCGTTTGCTCTCGGCCATGTCCACAGAAATGCGATCATAAATACAAGGCAAATTTCCATTTTGTTTTAATAAATAAATATGAGTGGATCAGATTTATTTAACCTCCTTTTTCATCTAGTTGATGTATTGTATTTGTTCAAGTGATTTCTTACGAGCAAATAGTGGCATTTCAGAGCTCCTTTGTAGCTTTTCTATACCTTGCGCATGCATTTAGCTCCAGCAAAGTATGAAAGTCCTAGACTGCCCCGATCTCTCTTCCATTATTTATTCATTTCAAACCTGTCTAGTAGAAAGACCGACGTGTAGATTAGTAGTCTTCCTTATTTGTATGATGTGCTCTCTCAACGTACTCTAAAATGCGTAGTATTAATAAGGATTTATTCTAGAGCACTTAGGCACCAAGGTCTAAGAGCGTTAACGGTGGGAAAATTTGACCACAAACATCAAGGTGCATTCACTTTGCTTTCCTACAGCTCTACTATTTAGGAAAGTTGGTAGCCTTTGAAACATCTCTAGTTCTCTGGGGAGGGGGGGGGAGGGGGTGAGAGGTTGTCCCAGCAAATCAGTATAATAAATTCAAAAACCATTTTATTTTTTGTTTGTAATTGATATTTATGCTCGGTATTTTCATCTTATTTAATTGCTCGAGGTGTTATTTTTCACTTGGTGAACGGCGCTTCCAGGAGCCGACATTTTGTTTCTACTTTAATGCCGTCGTATTTCTTCTGCTGCAGGCTAATTGTTGCTGGGTTCGCGTCGTTAACCTTCTTCTTAGTGGACTCGCTATTTTTCATCTTGCTTACCTTGCAGTTATGTTCGATACCAGTGAACAGCAGGATAAGGTATGTTTTCCCCTTTGTCTTTACTTCTGTACTTCTTTTCTATCCTCACAGGGCTACAATATGCTCCATGTTCTGAAGAAGTGGTCCGATCTCTATTTCCTCAGTCATATCATTGCGGCCTTGACCTATCTTCTTTCGTTGGTCCTCTGAGTGTCGCCATTTCTTTTTTTCCTGACATTTGCCATTTTGCCTCATGTCTATTTTTGACTCTTTAACGTAATATTAATCTGCAGAACTCTGCTACCTCTCTTTTTCCCAAGTGCAAGAAGTGGAATTTCATGTAAGATTATTTCCCATATCGACCGTTGAGAAAGGGAATCCATTGAAACTGCAAGACCTACCCTTCTTGATAGAATATTGCCCGTCAGTATCCGCTAAGCATCGTTTGCCTCAAACACCTACTGCAAGTCATTGGAGTATTAGCGAAATTCGAATTTTGACAACGTGGACTTCCTGTTTAGCAACTTTTGTAAGACTCGAATAAAAAATAAAGGACTTGGATACTTTGGCGTTGCTCCCGGTATCTTTTTGATCTCCTCCTTTGTGTAATTTTGTGTTTGAACTTACTAATCTCAATTGAAAATTGTACATTTTTCCCTTTACTGTGGGTAATAATATGCATTTCATGAATCACACAACTTTGCCAGCATGTGTCTTTCTTTCATGCCTGAATTTTTTTGTACTTGCAATAATCTTATGGGGGGGGGGGTATTAATTGGTGGGAGGCCACCTCCCTCTTTAAGCAAATGCGTTAATTTGATCGTTTGCGCCGTCGAAGCTTTTGTACTTATTGTATAGAGAGGGGTCAGGCTTACTTTCGTAGAAATTAGGAACGAGAAATAGCTCTGAATAGCATGGGGAAGTTCGTTGCAGTGTGAAATTGTAGTGGAGCAGGTGGTTGGTGCCAGTTGTTCAAGTGGATTTGGTGCATCGGTGACGCAATCGTTTTATATGTTATATGTTCGATTGTGAAATGAGACTTCACGCTTTTAATGCTAATCCAGCGAGTGAAATGGCTAATCGCATAAATTAATAAAGAAAAAGAATTTGAAGTTCTCATCAGGGAGGCTCCATGATACTCTTCAGTTACACAAGAAATGTGAAACAAACTAGTTTCATAAATGTGCATAAGTTCTTGTTCAAGTATAGCACAAAGTGGTAATTTTAAAAGGCTCAGGTAATTTTGAGCCAATTTGCGAAGCAGTCTGATGGGGCATCGATGGTCTCTTTGTGTGTAGTCTCTGAATGCTAACTTCACATCCCGAATGCGGACGCAAAATTCTTCTTAATTTAGAGATAGCCTGGTCGAGTCGATTTTGAAACATCAAAAGTATGAAGACGACATGAGGTAAATTAAAAAATGCCTTGAATTGACTGCGCTTCTACTAATATCACCAAGGACATTATAAATGAAGAATTGGAAGTTGGCAACCGTTGGTCTTGTCTTTTAGACATGCCTCAATGCAGTTAAACAGTTAATCACGCCTCCTAACTTCATCTTACCCCGATCCCTAATTCAATTACACCCTAATGATATCTTCTGAGCTCACAGAGCAAAGTGGTCAAAACCCGACTTTCTAGCATTATAAAGTCCAAAAAAGTGTTCGTTAATAAAGTATGCAGTCTTCTTGATGCACTTCGTGTTGTACCTGGGTCAATTTAGGCCAGTGCAATACTTCAATTGCACTTAAATTATCCTACGATTATACTCATCTATACTATTAATCTGAATCACCACGATTTTATCCTCCGGAAAGCTATGAAATGCGACACACCACTAGCTTCAGGTTCCCCCCTCCCCCCACCCCTGTTTAAGGAATCCCTTGAGTGAGTGGCGCAAATGAGGCAGAGAACTAAAGTGCATTTGGATCGAAACTGTCATTTGATTATAGCTGTGATATTATAACAAAATTTTTTATAGCTTCCTTAGGGGCATGATGAAGAGGAGAGGAAGAAAAAGTAGTTGATGGTTAAGTCCATGCACCAGAGGGTCTTTGTTACTTTTTTATACTCACATTGCGTTATTCAGGTTTCAAATCTCATGATTCATCACCTGGCCTTCTAAGCGATTTCTTTTATTTACGATATTCGGTGTTTATTGCTCTATCGTTTATTTACACTGATCTTTTTCGTCAATTCTATAAACTTTTCATACAGGGTTAGTGAAAACGAAACTTTTATACTTGATATTAAGCAGCTTAAGTTATTTTCGAGGTGGTAAACACTCTAAATTTAGTGGTTTTCACTTAATATAAAAGATTATATTATAGTACATCTCTGTTCTCTTGACGAACTCTGGGACGACTTTATCTTTAAATTTTTCCATGTTCCTTTCAGGAAGAAGTGTTTAGGTCAAATTTTTCATTTATTGAACATTTGTATCAAAACCGATAACAAATACAACTAGACAAACTCTATCAACACCCTTCAAAGTGTTAATGACTCGGTAGAATACTCTGTCTTCAGTGTAGATTCTTGCCTTCTAAAACGGTTATAGAAGGGTGCAGGGCATTCACCAAGTGGGTCCACTTCCGAGCAAAATGTATCCTCTTGAGTGGCAATTGTCCCATCTTTCTCCCTAGCAGTATGCAGCTCGTCTTCCTCATCTGCATCTCGTTTTCTATGCCAAAAGGCGCAATAAATGTACTAAAATTATAAAAATGACATTAAGTAATCCCTATGCAATAAGCCTTCAAAGTTATGCTCACGCCTGCATTTACAACTTTATTGCCAGGACTCTAAATAATTCGTGAATAAGTTGATTAATGAATGGAAACATTTTAGTGACTTTTATCAATGCGTATAACTGAGGCCTAATACGAAATCCAAATAGAATATTTAGTGACTCTGATAATAAAATCACTCCATTTGCGTAATCTCGTTAGATAATCCCCTCAAATGGCTTAATAGAAGGGGAATTGCATAATACTCTTTGTACAAGTGGAGACGGTTTATATGAAGCATGTACTAAATCAATCTGACATTTTTAAGATTGTTTGCCTGTGAATATTGTTGTCTAAAGGTTAATAAGACAACCAAGAGGAGCAATATATATGTGAATATCTTTAACCAGCAATATCTTAACGAATCTCCTGAATATCCATTTACTTCATTTCTATTCTGCAAACTTCCTGTGGCATCTAGATACAGCGCGTCAGGTGCGTCTCTCTTGTCTGCCTAAGTAACTTTAATCGATGTAGTATTATATCACGCAATGCGATCACTATGTGTTCTCTCCTAGTTCTTTTGGGCATGAGTAGGTATTTCAAAACTATGTACTATTTCAAATTGATCAAATACAAAATTAAAGTGGTGCTATATTTAAATATATTGTTATTACGGAAAAATAATTTACGTACCGCTAGCATCAGTAAGATGAGAAATAGTATGAGAGCTGATATTGCAAGAGAATCGGCAATGACAAGCACCCTATCCGATGTCATTCGAGTGACAACTCCAAAGAGAGGGATCCAGGCAAAAACATCAGCTACAACACTTGTCCACTTTTCCTTCTCTCGCTTTTGAATTGCAGCAGTTTTGACATTGAATTGCTGCTCTGCCCAAGTGAATGCATCATTTAAAATATCATCATCCTCCTCTGACCAAAGAATACCAGTCTGTAAACATTTAAAAGTAAGCGATGCATAACCAAGTTGATTAAATTTAAATGAAGTCGAAATGGAATACCTCCTTTAGCATCTCCTCCATGGTCTTGAAAGTATAATTTGAGGTTCCATCTTCGGGGGAGGCAGTTTTGACATCCTCACAGGCCAGCACGCGTCCATGACAAATGCCTGACTCTTCGGATTTCCCAGGACACTCACCGGGTCGTGGACATGATCGGGTCCGGGAGCGTATTCCCATGCCACATGTCACTGAACAAGAACTCCAGTCATACCATTCTGACCAAGCTAATTGAGCTGGCGCGTTCTCGCAGAGAATTCCAGTAAAACCGAATTTACATTCACATCTAGATTTTAAAAATCAGTCAAATCAATAACTCAGCAGGCCATATCAGTCCTACTTATTATATAGTTTATTATTCATATTTTGAACCCCTATTGATATGATAGTATTCCGCCATGCAGAGCTCACAGTCGTAGATTTCTGCTTAATCTTTTGAAAGAGAAATTTTCGAAGTGGTCTTTATGGCTCCTCCAGCCTTTCCAGCATACGGCCTAACACTGTTCCTGACAGCTTGTCAGTTAATCGTGACGACAACTATTATCGGACTGATGGAGTTTTGAAGACTGCCATTTGGAATTTTGGACTCAAATACACTTAATATTCGAACTTTAACTAAACTTCGGCTCCACATCTATTCACCCTGCGTTAAACAATAGTTAACTGCTTTGTTACAATTTGCATAAATAGTTATGAATGCTCCCTTAGTCAAAGTAAAACTCAACACCCTTGTGTATCATCTGGCTTCGTCCCTGTCCTCATTTATTGGATGTCCTCTCAGATTACTCAGAGTATTAACTTTAATAATATTCAGCTTGTGCACTCTGACATTAGTTTTGTATAAGCTGTGAAACGGTATGATATTAACACCGACCTGAATCTAAATTCTTCTCCTCGTTTGGGCTGAACTAGCGGTGGAGGTTCTAGATCAACGCAGACACCCCCATTGAGACAGGGATTAGTCTCCTCATTTTCACATTCGTCGATATTTACACAGGAAGGATCTGTCTGACTTTTGGCCTCGTAGCCCTTCGAGCAGAGGCACATATACCCCAAGGCCATATTATTCGGATCGCGTTGGCACGGGAACGCACCACAGAGATTATTTTCATATTCGCAAGGGTTCCTTGGTGCCTAAGTCACCAAATTCGATAGTGATTTATATAGTAAATAAACATTAAACATCAGAGGACTCACTTCACAAACGTAGCCCTGCCAGGCGGGCGGACATGAGCATTTAAATGAAACGTCTGGAATCAGCCGCGTTTGATTTGGTTTTATAACTAAGCATGTCCCCCTATTACGGCATGGTGTCCGTCCATACCTTGCAAATTAGAAATTCCCATAATTAAAATTAAAAAATATTAGATGTCATGATAGATCAATTGCAATAGCTTCAATTCAGAACAATTAGTGGTTTGGTTTTGTATGTTTTGCTACCATCTCTTAATTTAAGCATTTGGTATCGATCGGAATCCATCTAATAATTTTTCAGACAATATTCCATCGAACTCATGTGTTTACTCGCGTGTCCTAAGTGATGACCACCATCGAATGATTATCAAACGAATAAAGAACCCGTAGCATTACAAAAAAATGAGCATATTTGCACCTTAAACACGGTTCCATCCCCCCATTCTCTCAGCCCTAACACTTATTCCCTCCCCGTTCAACTTCGTGCTGCGTTAATATACTCTTTCTGCTAAATTTTACCTTAACTCAGTGTCATTTCCTCTGGAGAAGAGAAATGTTGCCTTCTAGCCTTTAATTAGATTATTAACTCCGCGAGGGTATGATCTAGTCCAATTTGATTGAACACCTAATGTTGCTTTTCCAACAGCATTGGCGATACTTTAAACAGACAAGCAGGAATATGCTTGTTTTCGTAAATTTCATCAAATATTAATAAATGTTCTTACGTTGTCCAACGAATCTATCTTGCGCATCTCTCACTTTCTGTAAATTGATCTAAACTTTAGTCAATTACGCGTCTACTTGTCCTCTTACGGGAATACTTCGCTAACCAATAATTTGCCATTGCTTTTTATCGCGTTTTAATGATAGTGACCCTTAAAAATGGAAACATTACCGGCCGTCATTGCAACTAGACTTAATTTTGACGCATTTGCTTTTCTTCTGGCTGAACCTGTAACCTTCTCGGCATATGCACTCATAACCAATGGAGTATATGTCCCCAAAACGAGCTTTCCGACTTGGATGAACTGACTCTGCTGTTCTAATATCGCGAAGTGGACGGCAAGCTTGCAAGGAATTCGTATCATTTTTGCAGATCGTTGGCCGCCAGCAGGCGTTTGGGCATGTTCGTTCAGTTTTCTATAATTGTTTAGTTTGGAAAAATCAATACGTTATTATGGGTAAATTAGCAAGTGACCTCTACAGTAATAACAGGAAAGTTCATTTACTCGAGTTGCTCCTCTACAACCGGAGTTAGTATTTAAAGATGATACTATTTGGATCAGAACTTTGGTGCACCGCCTGTTTGACTTTACGATCAACTCTTTACAATGTTTTTCAAATATTTCATTTGCATTTAAAATAGTTTAATATAGACACTTCCTTAAACTTTATCTCGACTATACTGTGGCCTTGGGACCTAGCCAAATTAATTTAAACTGCCCCCAAAACTGGACACCCTACGAAATCAACTCACTGTTTGGCGCAAACACGTTGCAGACCATTCACAGATAAGCATGCCTTTGAGTTTTATTAGACATCAATGTGGCAAAACTGCTTTATCAACTTCAGGCTCACAACTGACTTGCTTCTCTCCCGATCCTAACAACGGGAAACCTCGTTAAAGCCTCCAGCAAACCCCTATCTGTTTTCGCCCTTTACTCCGACTGTAAAAGTGATTCATTAACCCTACACCAGTTATACCAATCAACTGTTAAAAGAAACTGAGGTAATAGTAAACTAGGTCAAATAAAATTGGATATCTTTTCAATTTCCAAAATGATACTTCAACACATTTTGTGTTCGGATAAAAACTGACTAATCGCTTTCAGCAAATGGGCTAACACTTAAGCATACCTTGATAAAATTGTTGGAAAGAAAGGTGGGAAAGTAGGTTAGGGAATCTCATTACAAACTAATAATTTCTAATGGCAACGAGAAAGTAAACATCTTCTCTTAATGGGAAAACAATGATTTTGGTGGAGATAAAATGAAAAATCGAAAAATGATCACAGTGGAACTAATAATAGGTAACATGCCTTGGCACAACAACTGGAAATTGGTAGATCGAATTAATGCTCGAAATTGAGCTGTGCCCATCGTTAGTCAGTTGGGAAATCAATAGAAAGTACTGTATGGCAGTTAGGAGAGATGGTACATTTGAACAAGCCTGTGATTTTTAGCAGTTTCAAGGTCCCAATAGGAGTTTGAATTATATTTCCCACATAAGTCTTGCAGTTGGGATGCTCAGATTAATTCTAATCCATTTTATTTTTTTAGTAAGGATGTTAATTAACTTATGGGTCAACGAATTTTCTGAAATTCTAAAATTTCAACTCAATATTTTTATTTTGGTATTCTGTCAGTTCAATATAAGGAGATGAAAAAGTTTAAAAGAAAAGATATTACAACCTGTACAAAAAATTCTCGAATGAAAATGAATGAAATTCTCGAAGAAAATATTTTGAGCAATAAAATTTAAATTAGCAAATTTCAAGACGGTCAATCTAATAGTTGCCCTTTGTTGTCTCCTAAAGGAGTTTTCAAATCGTTTGTTTGACTGGGTGGAGCATTTGCTACACATTACAAAATAGGTACGTAACAGTGTATGTTGACTCCATCATCAAATGACAGCCACCAACCACAGACGTTATTTTGCACTCAACTAGAGCATTGCAATTTATTAACCGTCATATCATAGAAACACGCACATTCATAGCATCATGGAGGAATTTCTAGGAGCTTGGAAAGTGGAATCAAATGAAGATTTCCACAAATTTTTAAATCACTTCGGAGTGCCTTCTCCCCTTGCCAGATTAGTTGCAAGTTTTGGCTCCACAACAGAATTTTCGAGAATTAATGAAGACACTTATGAAATAACAATTTCATCGGTGAAAGGCAAAACACGAGCCGCCTTTAAATTGGGGGAGGAATTTAACGAAAAATGCTCAGGAGATGCTACGTTGAAAGTGAGTTCTAGTTCTAGTATTTTACTATTTCGGAGAGAAATTCGCTTAAATTTTACCCAATTTTTAAAGTCCAAGATAACGATTGATAACGGAGTAATGAAGCACGTTCAATATGGAAGTGCCGAAAACATCATAACAACTCGAACAATTAATGGTGAATTGATGACTGCGGTTAGTATTGATAATTCTATTTTATGCTTTTCTTAGACTTTTTGCTATTTAAAGGTTCCTTGTTTACTTTACCTTTTATATAACTTATACTTGATAGTTTATGAAATAATTTTTTTCAGATATACAACGTTGGAGATCTGACGTGTTCGCGAATTTATAAACGGTGTACAAAATGAGTTTGGTCTAATTGAAAAAAACATGAATTGGCTACAACGAAAAGGTCCTATTACCTTATTATGTGCGAATAAAAAGAATAATTACCAAATAAGAAAATAAGATTATTGTGTTTTAAAACCAGGAGAGATGACAGCAGCGAAGCTGACAAAATGCGTGACCATGTTAAAATGAATATTTAATCTCACCATTATGCAATTCCGCCTATACAAAACTAGACTTGGTAATGATGATTGGGAACAGAAATGGAAATGAATATCTCCACTAAAGGATGTCGCCAGCTGAACGCGTTTGACAACTTTCTACGAATACCACTATCTATAGTGGTCTGTCTTACAGTATGCAAAACCTTTTCGACAAGGTTGGTATGACAGGGCATAGAGTTACGGAATGTATAAATGGTAAAAATAGCGACAAAGAATCCACCATTGGTGGCTATTGTGATAAGATGGTCACTTTCCACACCTTTCAGTCAAAAATTGGAGGCAATGGGCACTTGAATGGATAGGCCTACATAGTCCTCTTTGGGTGAGGGTTTGTGATCATAGACAAGAGAACCACTCCCCCATTATTTGTACTCTTAGCTTCCTATTCCACAGTTAAATCGTACATGCATCTTATGAACGTTATGCCTTGCCTCTTCTTTATGAAGTGTCATAATAAAGACCTATTCAAACTGCACTACCCTCAATTTGGATAGTATCCAATTAAAATTATGACGCTTGCTTGAAAAATTCTAGAAGTTTAAAATGCCTTAAGCTGGGAATTGTGATTTGATGAGAGCATTAAATGGCGATAACTTACCTCTCCTCTAAGACACATGCAGAGATTGTAGAAAAAAATGAACAAGTACGTCCAGTCACCCAAATAGTATGAATTTACATATGAAGTGAGGGCCCGAATCGATTCCTTCTGATTATAGTCGTCTTCCATAAAGGCGATGTACATCAAAGCAGTGTCCTGAGCTTGCGTTCCTGGAGTACAGTAATCTCTTGGCAGTAAAAAATACCGATCGATTTAAGTCATTTGAAAATTGGAGGTGTCTCATAAATTTCTTGTAACGATCCTCACTGGCATACGAATTTATCAAAGTAAATGACAAGTACGTTGAATTTTTATATGTATCTAGGTTCTTATATGAATTCGGAATGGCCTAACTTCTTCCCTAAACATTGTGTCCAAACAAATAATTTTTAACATGTCGATGCAATTCAGATGATCATATCCAGTAAATGGAAAGCACTATAATTACTTTATTTATTTCTACTTTTAGCATGACGGCAACAGTTAAGCATTCACTTCGCTACATATCTAGTGGCAAGTGCTCTATGAATGTCATGTATAAGTGGTGAGATTTATAGAAAACTCTGACAGCAGTAGTCAATTCTCATGATCTTTAAATTGCGCATTAATACCCTTTCTTTGGATGTTATGTTACGAGTAGTCATTATGCCAAACTTTAGATGCAATCTTTATCTCGAGGTGTGAAATTTATTAATATATTTCAGGTTTGACTCGATTTACTTATTACTTTCCCAAGATCAGTGAGGAAATTTCCGGATATATGATTTTAGTTATATTTTAAGCAATTAATGCTTCGAAATATTTAGTACTTCTTGCACTAAATTTCCATTTAAGTTTAGTATAGCAAGTGTTATACCTAAAAACTCAACTCCGTTTACAGGACAATAAATTCGAAACTGCTTATATTATAGACAAGCTGATTTTAATGTTATTAGACTGTAAATTAAAAGTGGTACTAACAGTAACTGGTGAAATAAACACAATTTCTCACCTCGAAATCAGTTTATTTGAAAGCTGACTTAAATCCGATCTACTTGATCTTTATCCACATAGTGAAATATCTACTTTTCGAAATACAGCACATGCAAATATTCTAAAACTCAATTGATACTAAGGGAAAAGCTCTTTCATCAAGATTACCAAACCATCACTCACTTCCAGTTTGACGGTATAAAGTATTCTCCTCTCAGGTACTCTGGAACTTCGAAGTTACCCCCATCCACCAAGTACCACGCCTTCCACCATTTGTCTTTGAAAGTATCCCACTCGTCAAAGTAGTAGATTTGGATCCAGGTATATCCCATTGGAATATGAAACTTGAGTCTAGATTTGAGCCACCACGGGCTGTAATAAAAGTATTCTGGTTTTTTTTCTGAATCGGATGCTATTTCGGTTACCATAACGACAAACAAAAATGCGAGTAAAGAGCAAAGAATTATTCGCCTCATTTCCACCTGAAACACTCGCGAAAATGTTTCGTAGTATGGGAATTATTGATAGGAGTTAAATGATTTAACATTTACCTAATTAAGTGAGACAACAGGTGTTTGACTTGTTTGAACTTCGATTTACGGATCCTATCACAGTTATTTAACTAATTAAATAATTAATTTAAAACAGATCGATAGCATTACAGCGTTATTAGTCTCCTAATAAGGAGAGCTATACTAATAATCAGATATACCCAATTTAAGCACTTTATTAAAGTATTTTTTCATCATATTTCTGTCATTGTTTCAGCTGGATTTATAATAGTTAGTTGATGTTTGGTTCTGGTGAGCATTTGTAGCGGATTGTCACGATAGTAAAGCCCTGACTGACTCAGAAATCTCTATGGCAGATTCTCCAACATCTAGCTAGTCTCCCAGAACTAGCTAAGCTATAGCCCAGCTATAAAGAAAACAGACGCGTAGCACAGAGCACGTTTATTCAGTGAGTATATTGCGGATGAAGTGTACACGTGGGGGGCCTAATCATGATCAGGATGGCTGATTAGGTTAAACAAACAGAGGTTAATGATTGGTCACTGTTTGTACGGTCGCTGCACACAGAGTTGTACGGCCGCATCTCCCAATCCAGGCATGCAGGCATGTGATGACGCACAAAGCGATAATGTGTCCCACACATTTATAGTCTCCTTTTATGTAAAAAGTCACAGAAAAAACAGCATCACCACTATTTATGGACATACTTTCTAATAAAAAGTTTTAAATTTTGTAATATTTGAATAATATTGAAAAGTATTTGGGTCGGTGGACTTAAATTCCCATCTCCTCATCGGCTCCCTGGATAAACGGTATCGATTCAACCTAAATAAAGTTCATAATTGTTAGATAGCAATCTTCTTTACCAAATATATTTAGTAGCGCATATACTGGACCCACCCCGATTTTATTATTAAGGTACGTCACATAGAGTGTTAAATGTAATTTTTGTAAAGCTATTTCATATAATATCATAAACTCTATAATCTCTACCTTTTTGCCTGATTTCCTAACAGTTTATTAAATCATCACTGCACAAACTCACCTATCCTGGACTTAGCCGTCCTATTATATCAAATTCTTGATAGGTTAAATGCGTTTAAGTAACTTCTGATTCTTATCTTCAATGATCGTAGGGGTTGCATAGTTAATTATTTCATGACTGACTCCTAGTTTCTGTCAATGCCACAGTTCTGCGCCCTTTTACATTAAAAAGTGGAGCATTCAACGGATATTCCTCTGTAAGATTTAAAATAGTCATATTTCTGCAACCTCATTAACTCGGTAAAGCGTGGCCTATATGCACCAGCTGCAAATTCCAATTTAACTTATCTAAAAGTTGAGTAACGTCGAAGGTATGAGTGGAACTGCCACTTTGTCTGTTAAACTTCGTCGACTCTGGTGAAGTTTCGAATAGAAATTTCGCACAAAAACTAAGCTCTGAATAAGTAAGGAACTCTTAAATATTAGTAAATAAAGCTTTAAGAGAACGGGAAGGAAATCGTTACTAAATAAAGGGTTCATTCTTAGTTTCAAGTCTAAATTGGAGAAATTGACGAAAAGTTTGGTTAAAGTTTGGCATTTGTTACTCAATTTGTATCTTATATAAAAGACAATTTAATTAAACGGATTAAATATAAATACAGTCGGCTTAGGGGCTGGGCTACTTCGTTACTTCCAATATCGATTTCTCCGCCCGCCTTGCGATCCGACATTTAGGGCTAATGATAAATATCATAAAGCCTGCCATTTG